TAAAGGGAAACATTTGTATTTCTGTGTTGCTGTTGGAGATTTCCTCTCACTTCCTGTCTGGTAAAACTCGTCAGCACAGAAAGGAAGTGAGGGGGAAAGCCCCGGATAGCAGTAGAGGCCTGACAGGGGTTCCAATCCTTCCTCACTCCATCAAAGCTCAGAGATGACGCTTTGGCTGGACGCACACTTTATATAAAGACAATAAAGTCCTCATTTCCTGTTTGTTGTATTTGTATCGGTTTGTTTTCGACATCTTCCGGTATTTTGTAGATTATTTATTGTTACTTTATTACATTTGTATTGCTGTGAAGGGAAGGCCGCGTTTTATAGGGCAGAGCCGAGTCCTCCGACCGATATATTAGAATCTTCCTGGAAATGTTCTACAATCGCTGGCAACAATGTATCCGCTTATTCCAGGCATCGGATTCTATAATATTCTACACTATGCCGGATGAAGGGACCCCGAGTGGCCCCGAAACGCTGCCACTTTATGACACGCACAACAGTAAGGACGATTTTGGACATTTGACCTCAGTGTGCTGGTGACCGATTGTATCTACTCCGCTTATTCTAGGCAGCACAGACAGTCCTCGCTGCGAGTGTCAGGCTGCATCCACACCTGATAAAGCCTGATGAAGGGACTCTGCGTGGCCCCGAAAACGCTCGTCTTCATTGGACATGGTTCTTAAAAGGAGAACTATGGGGGTCAGGGCTTTTCCCCAGAGTTCTCCTAAGGGTGACGGGAGGACGCAAACTAGCGTCCTCCCGTCACCCTAGGCTCAGTATATAGGGAGCTGTAGCTCGCGGTATACTGAGACGCCGCAGCTGAAGCGGATCCCGACAATTATGCTGGGATCCGCCCAGCTGCGTGAGTGACAGCTGGCTCCGCCTATCTAGAGGCAGAGCCAGCTGTACCCGCCCCCTTCCCCCGTCCGTTCCGCCAGTCAGCGCTGGAGGATCGGAGCGGGGAGAGGGGAATCCAGTCCCTCCCCTGTCAGGGCTCTCTGCCGGCACAGTATCGAGAAGCGAGCGAGCGCCGGTATGTGTTCGCTCACCTCCCGATCTACTGAGCCGACCTGTGACAGTCTCATTGTCACAGGTCGGCTCAGATTATGAGGCTGAGTGCAGATCACCCCCCTCGTAGTTCTCCTTTAATAAATGAACAATTGGTTATCCTGAAAGGACTTCTGGAGCGCCGGTGACATTCTTACAAACCATTCATGCAACAGGCCGCGGCGCCATCCGCAGTCACTACTATTGGGACATCTGGTAAGGAGTGCAGCAAGACCTTCACGCGTTTTGCATCCACACCTCTGCGCACACTGAAAACACCTTCCATGGGTTGGGGTCCTTCTCATGGTCATTAGTCAGTGCCGTGCGGTTTGTTACAAGGTCACCTAGAGCGCTCTGTGGGGTAGGGGGG